GCGCGGGCTGCGGGGCGCGGGACGCGGGGCAGGGAGACTCACCGTCAGGCCGGTGCCCAGCACGATCACGTCGTACTCCTCATTCATGGCGGGGGACGGCGAGGACCGAGGCCCAGCGAGAGCACAAGGCGCGGGGACTCGAGGGGCCAGCGGCTATACGACCACCCGGGAGCCAAAGGGAAACAGCTCAGGCCGGTGTTGGGGCCCGACGGAAACGGGGAGCCAGGGCTGGAGCTGAAACGGAGCTGGAGAGGAGAGAGGCCGGCCGCCACCTCAGACGGGAAGAGAAGAGCGGGGCAGGGAGGGGAGGGAAGACGGGGAGGGCAGGGAAAGGCGGGCGGCGACCCAGGCCTCCGCAGCCGGGGCGGGGCTTAGAGACGGCGCTCGGAGAGCCGTCGATCACACCCTTCCCGCTCTCTCATTGGCTGAGTTCCCGTTGCCCGCCCAACCTTCGTCCTCTCCCTCCTCTCGCGAGAGGAGGGCGGGCCGTCCCTCTGGCGGTTCCGGTTCCCCGCCCGGCCCGCTGCCACCGTGGTTGGGGGCGGAGGAGGCGGCCGGTCGCGGGCCCCTGAGGGCCTGCAGTGGGGGCGAAGCGCGCCCGTGGCGGGAGAGCGGCAGTGCGTTTCGTTACTCCCTCAGGGGTGTGGGAGCCAAGGCACGCCCAGGGCCCCGAGACCTCCCGCCGCCCTTGGACTTTGAGCCCGTGGAGGGCACGTGCGCCGGAGCCGGCGGCGCGGGAGTCTGCTGGGGACGCGGGCGGCCGCGTCGGGCCCCGCACTCCCGCCCTCGCACTGTCGGGCTCCGTCTAGTAGCCTGGCTCCGGCTGCGGCCCGGGCGCTGTGCAGGCCTCGGCCCGGCGTGCTCGCGCGGCCGCGCCTACCCCCGTCATTGGCAGCTTGCTTTGTGTTTCCTCCCATCCGGCCTCCTTTTTCTGAATGAAAAAGCCCCCACCGTCTTGAAAGCATTCAGAGATCACAGGTTTTATCTTATTTCCCGCCCTTTGTCGTGCTTGCTGCGTTGCCCCATGTGCGGCCCGAGGAAAATTAATGAGAAGAAAAAAACCCAGCTTTTAAAAAAAGTAACCCTCAGCACAAATGAAGAGGAAGGCCAGCTTTGATTTGGAAAGCGGGTCTGCGCCTACTGAGAGCTATAGCTCAGGCCAGCTATAGAAATTCCCATGACCACATGGGAATAGGGTTAGGCCATGAGTGTGGAAGAAACATTCCTTGCGTGCCTTCCATCTCCTCTACTCCTGCCCACCCCCCAGCCCCCCAACTTTTTAGGATTCCCACTGGAATCTCCAGCTTTGGGTAAAGAGATGGGTGTAAGGAGCGGCTTGTGTTCTCAACCAAAGAGAGGAGGCCCTATAGAGGCAGTCTGGACAAGTGATTCCCCTAAAGCCTTGGACAACCTGTGTTTACAGCCCGTGACAGGTCTGCAAACCCAGACGAAAGAGTTGGTATTTCCTTCTAGAGTTACTCTCAAACACAGCTGGAGAACTATTCAAAGTGAATCTTGGGGGGCGCCTGGGTGGCTCAGTTGGTTAAGCGACTGCCTTCGGCTCAGGTCATGATCCTGGAGTCCTGGGATCGAGTCCCGCATCGGGCTCCCTGCT